GGTAGCATAGTGGCTAAAGCACTTGACTGCTAACCAGAAGGCTGGCGGTTCAAACCCACCAGCCACTCCTTGGAAGGAAGGTTGGGCAATCCTACTTCCACAGTGATACTGCCTTGGAAACCCAAGGAGGGGTCGCTATGAGTAGGGGGCCGACTCCAGGGCACATAACAACAACAACAACAACAACAACAACAAATGAGTAATGATTGTGAACATTTCTTCATGTGTTTGTTGGCCGCCTGAATATCCTCTTTGGTGAAGTGACTGTTCATGTCTTCTGTCCATTTTTAAATTGGATTGTTTGTCTTTTTGTTGTTGAGGTGTTACTTGCCCCTAGTTTTTCCTTGAGGAACTTTGTAGTTTTAGTTTTCATATTTAAGTCTTTGATTCATCTGGAGTTAGTTTTTGTGTATGGTGTGAGGTACGGATCTTGTTTCATTCTTCTGCAAATGGATATCTATTTTTTCCAGCCTCATTTGTTAAAGAGACCATCTCTTCCCCCGTTTAATGGATTTCAGCCCTTTGTCAAAAATCAGCTGACCATAGGTCAATGGATCTATTTCTGGGTTCTCAATTCTGTTCTACTGGTCTGTGGGTTGGTTGTTGTACCAATACCAGGCTGTTTTGACTGCTACAGCTTTATAGTAGGTTTTGAGATCCAGGAGTGTGAGACCTCTTAATTTGTTCTTCTTCTTCAATAGTGTCTTGCTTATCCAAGGTCTCTTTCCTTTCCATATAAAATTAGAGATTCATTGTTCCATATTCTTAAAGAATACTGATGGGATCTGAATTGGGAATGCATTGAATGTATAGATTGCTTTGGGTGATATTGACCTTTTCACAATGTTCCGTCTTCCTATCCATGAGCATGGTATGTTTTTCCATTTATATAGATCTTTTATGGTTTCTTGAAGTAGTGTTTTGTAGTTTTCTTTGTAGAGGTCTTTTTTGTCTCTAGTGAGATTTATTCTCAAGTATTTTATTATTATTATTATTTTGATATCTATTATAAATGGTATTGATTTCCTTATTTCTTTTTCAGCAATCTCTTTGCTGGTGTAGAGGAATCCAACTGATTTTTTGGATATTGATCCTATATCCCACCACTATGCTAAATCTCTGAATTAGTTCCAGTAGTTTTGTTGCTGAGTCTCTTGGGTTTTCTGTGTATAGTATCATATCATCAGCAAATAGGGGTAGTTTGACTTCTTCCTTCCCAATTTGGATGCCTTTGATTTCCCTTTCTTGCCTTATTGCCCTGGGTAGGATTTCCAATACGATGTTGAATATAAGTGGTGTTAGAGGGCACCCTTGTCTGGTTCCTGTTGGCAAGGGGAATGGTTTCAGTCTCTCTCCATTGAGAATAATATTGGCTGTTGGTTTTGCATATATGCCCTTTATTATGTTGAGGAATTTCCCTTCCTTTCCTATTTTTTTTTTTTAGTTTTTTTCAGGAATGAGTGTTGGATTTCATCAAATGCCTTTTCTGCATTGATTGATATGATCATGTGGTTCTTTTCCTTTTTTTTGTTTATGTAATGGATGACATTGATTGTTTTTCTAATGTTGAACTATCCTTGCATACCTGATATGACTCCCACTTGGTCATAATGTATTATTTTTTGGATACGTTGTTGGAGTCTATGGGCTATTATTTTGTTGAAGATTTTTGCATCTATATTCATGAGAGATATGGATCTGTCGTTTTCCTTTTGAGTGATGTTTTTGCCTGAGTTTGGTATCAAGGTTATGCTTGCTCCATAAAATGAATATGGGAGGATTTCATCCTTTTCTATGTTCTGGAATAGTTAGAGTAGGATTGGTGTAGGTTCTTCCCTGAATATTTGGTAGAATTCTCCAGTAAAACTGTCTGGCCAGGGTTTTTTGTTGTTGGTAATTTTTTTTATGACTTGTTTAATTTCTTCTTTTGTTGTGGGTTTGTTCTAATTTTCCACCTCAGTCTATATTAGTTTAGGTAACTAATATATTTCTAGAAATTTGTCTATTTCTTCTAGATTTTCAGATTTTCTGGAGTTGTTCATAAAACAGACAAACAAACAATAATAACAACAACAACAAAATGCCACCAGAGCTACCATAGTTGTTCATAGCATCCTGAAACTATCCTTTTAATCTCTGTTGGTTCTGTTGGGATGTTGCCCAATTTATTTCTTATTCATGTTATTTGTGTTCTCTCCCTCTTTTCTTTGTTAAGTTTGCCAGTGGTTTGTCAATTTTATAAATCTTTTCAAAAACCCAACTTCTCGTCTTGTTGATTTTTTTCTATTTTTCTATTTTCTGTTTCAGTAATTTCTGCTCAAATCTTTGTTATTTCTTTTTTTCTGGTGACTGTAGGCTTTTTTCTTTTCTTTTCTTTTCTTTTTTGCTGCTGTTTTTCTCATTTGTGGAGATGTTGGGTTAAGATGTTGATTTTAGTTCTTTCTTCTTTTTTGATGTGTACATGTAGTGCTATAAATTGGCCTCTGATCCCTGCTTTTGCTGCATCTCAAAGATTTTGGTATGCTATGTTTTCATTCTCATTTGATTCAAGGAAATTTTTTAGTTTAATTTTTTTTAGTGTAGTTACAGAACTTCTAAATGGTGAGGAAGTCAAGAGAGTTGCAAGATATAATGGACTTTTCTAAACTCAGGGAGAAAATTATAAATCACAGGGTAACCTCAAAGAAAAATGATAAACCTTCACATCAAAATGAAAAATAGGACAAGCACAAATATTTAGCAAATACTAAAACAATAGCAATGAAGGAAGTGATAACACAGTTCATAAACAAAACAAGCTCAGCACAGAAAATAATATGGAACAAAGAAATCAGCAACACCACAAAAAAAACATGTAACACAATGACAGCAACAAATACATACTTGTCAATAATTACACTGAATGCCAATGAATTAAATGCATCACTCTCATTGGTTCTCTGTCCAAAAGACTCCCTTTAGTATCTCTTGTAAGGTTGGTCTGGTTTTAACAAATTCCCTTAATTTCTGCTTATCTGGAAATCTCCTAATTTCTCCATCATATTTGAGGGACAGTTTTGCTGGGTATATAATTCTTGGTTGGAAATTTTTCTCTTTCAGGGTTTTACATATACCATTCCATTGTCTTCCTGCTTGCATAGTTTCTGCTGAGAAATCAGAGCTTATTCTTACTGGTTGCCCTTTGTAGGTAACTTTTCATTTTTCCCATGCTGCTTTCAGGATTCTTTCTTTGTTTGGTTTTGGTGAGTTTGATGATGATGTGTCTTGGTGATTTCCTTTTGGGATCTATTCTGTTTGGGGTTCGTTGGATTTCCTGAATGGATATGTTCTCATCTTTCATCATATCAAGGAAGTTCTCTTCTTGGACAATTTTCTCAGTCATTTTCTTTTTCTCTTCTTGTTCTGGAATTCTGATTACACATATTTTATTCCTTTTGGTAGTATCCCACATGCATCTTAGGCTTTCTTCATTTTGTTTTGATCTTTTTTTCTGATTGATCCCTTTCCAAAGGAATATGCAGGTATTTGTCTTCAATCTCATTAATCCTGTCTTCCATTGCATCAATTCTACTCCTTTGCCCTTTCAATATGTTATCTATTTCTGAAAATTTATATTAATCTTCTGGATTTCTAGCTATAGATTTTGTATTGTTTCTAATTTTTCATTTATTTTGTCATTTTGTTCTTATATTGTCTTCTGAAATTGTTCTACGTTTTTCTCTGTGTTTTCCTCAATATTGTCAGTGTTTTTCTTGATCTGTTTCTCAATCTGTTAAAAGTACCTAAATATAATGCTTTTGAATTCCTTATCAGAGATTTCCAATGCTGCTTCTTCCTCAGGGATGTGTTTTGGGTCTATATCCTGGTCCCTTGTTTCTCCTGCTTTATCTTGCTTTTTTGTGTGCACTGTGATGGTCTGTTGTCTCTGAAACATTATGACATTTTTGTGTTTATATTGAATTGGTGATTGTATGTTGAAGTGGTTCACCCAAGATTTTTGTTTTCTTTGGTTTGTTTGGATGTATCTGACTAAGCAGGGTAATGTGCTTCTCTATTTGCTAGTTGGCAGCACTTATGCACTTACTACCTGTCTCCTTTCCATTTGCCAGCCTTCCATATGTCCATGCTTTCTTTGGCAAGTGGAGCCTATTCTTCGGTCCCTGGAATCTGAATGAGAGTGCTGTCACTTTAATTATCCAAAATGGCCACTGCTTGTAAACATTCAAAATGGCTGTGCCCTCCGGGCAGCTGAAAGTCCACAGCTTAGTTTGTCTGCTTCTCTGCTGTTTCCCTTTTCAGTTGTCAGCTACTTGTGCAGTACTCCATGCAGCCCATGGTGAGCAGGGCCGATTTTTAGGTTAATTCTCAGGTCCTAACACCACTTGGAACTATTCAGGCTGTCTGTGCTGTCAGGACACCTGGCAGTTTGCAGCTTCATTTGTCTCCTTACTCACTGTTTTCGTTCATGTTCTTTTACCAGTTGGTGTTTAATCCATGTCTGTATACTTCCTTTCAAAGCTGGGGGCTCCAGGATTATCTTCTATATCTATGTCAATTGGTTTCTATTCTTTGTTGAAGAGAGTTTGTGTAGCTTGTCTGCCTATTCTGCCACCTTACTGGAAGTCCTTGAGGTCATGCTTTTTATCTTGAGAAGTTACTCATTAGCATCAAAGTGCCAATTAAAAGATTCAGATGGGAAAATCTGACAGGTTTTTCACTTTTTCAAATTTTAATAAAGTTATTTTTCTGGAAGTATTTCCAGTTCCAATTGCTGTCAAATCGATTCCAACTTATTGTGACCCCATCATTCAGATGTTGTTGTTGTTGTTAGGTGCTGTCAAGTCATATCTGACTCATAGGGACCTGACATACAACAGAATGAAACACTGTTTGGTCCTGCCTCATCCTCACAATCCTTGCTATGCTTGTGCCCACTGTTGTAGCCACTGTGTCAGTCCATCTCATTAAGGGGTTTTCCTTTTTTCACTGACTCTCTGCTTTACCAACCATGATATATTTCTACAGGTGTTAGTCCCTTCTGACAGCATAACCAAAGTACATGAGATGAAGTCTGGCCATTATTGCTTCTAAGGAGCATTACAGCTGCACTTCTTCCAAGACAGATTTTGTCATTCTTCTGTTAGTCTGTGGTATTTTCAGTATTCTTCACCAACACCACAATGCAAATGCATCTATTCTTCTTCAGTCTTCTTTATTCATTGTCCCGCTTTCACATGCATTTGAGGCTATTGAAAATACCATGGCTTTGGTTAGGTGTAGCTTAGTCATCAAAGTGACCTCTTTACTCTTTAACAATTTAAAGAGTCCTTTTGCAGCAGATCTGCCCAATGCAATATGGCATCTAATTTCCTGACTATTGTTTCCATGGGTATTGATTGTGGATCCAAGCAAAATGAAATCTTTGACAAGTTCAATCTTTTTCCATTTATCATGATGGTACTTTTTGGTCTAATTGTGAGGATTTTTTTTTTCTTTATGTTGAGATGTAATCCATACTAAGGACTGTAGTCTTTGATCTCCATCAGTAATTGCTTCAAGTCTTCTCCACTTTCAGCAAGCAAGGTTGTGTCATCTGCATATTTCAGGCTGTTAATGAGTCTTCCTCCAATCCTGATAATGTTTTCTTCTTCATATAGTCCTGCTTCTTTGGTTATTTGATCAGCATACAGATTTAATAAATATGGTGAAAGGGTGCAACCCTGACACACACCTTTTCTGATTTAAACTGTTTAGTGTTCCCTTGTTCTGTTCAAATGACTGCCTTTTGGTCTATGTACAGGTTCCTCATGAGCACAATAAGTATTCTTTCTACAACATAAAACATAAAACCCAAACTCAGTGCCATTGGGTCCATTCCAACTCATAGCGACCCACCGTGGATTCCAAGTCTGTAAATCATTATGGAAGTAGATTGCTGCATCTTCTTCCTGAGGAGCAGCTGGTGGGTTTGAACTGCCAACCTTGTGGTTAGCAGCCAGTGCCTTACCTACCATGCCACCAGAGCTCTTATTATGACATAGTCATGTGTAAAATTTTAAGGATTTATTTACTCAGATTTTTTATGCCACTGTTACCTTTCATTTACTCAGTTAATCAGTACTGGATTTGGTGATCAGATTCTACCATTTTATTGAAATAAAATTAATTAGCAGAGAGATGTTACATTGTAGAGAATTGCAGTCAATGTCATAAAACAAAATATGTATGAACTGCTGTATGGAAAATGAATCAGTTTGGTAAACTTTCACCCAAATCACAATTTAAAAAAAAAAAAAAAAAGATTAAATGAGTATATAGTTACCTGTATATCAAGTCTTTTTCAAATTTTTGTGCCATCATATTTCTTGAGCTAAGTCTTATTTCTTAAAATTAGTTGAAAATAACTCAAAAATAGCTGGAGTAGTACATAGACAGAGAACTGCCAGTAATTCTGACCGGATCAGAAGAGGACATGGAATGAGGGATTTATTTGCTGATGTCAAGTGAATCTTGGCTGAGAGTGAAGAATACTAGAAAGATGTTTACCTGTGTCATATTGCAAAGGCATTCAAGTTCATGAATCATAATAAATTATGAATAACATTGTGAGGAATGGGAGTTCCAGAACACTTAATTGTGCTCATGAAGAATCTGTACACAGATCAAGAGGCAGTTGTTTGAACAGAACACAGGAATACTGCTGCAGTGTAGTAAACTACCTGGTATGGCTTTTCTAGCCATAAGTCTTTTTAAACTCCATGGTGGAATTTGCTGTGAGAAAATAAGTAGCTTCTGATTGTTAGAATCATCCACCTGGCATATTTCTGTTGGGAGCAGCACAAAGTAATGTTCTGGGAAGTTCACTTTCTCTCAGGTGCTTAGAATTCTGATGTTATGATTGGTAGTTTGGCCACTCTGCCAGGCTCAAAAGGAGGCCTCCTAGAGGCAGAGGTCTCTCTGACTGCTGGCTGAGAAGGACGTGCTACTGAAAGAGACTCGGGCTCCTGAGAGACACGTGCTGTTGGGAAAGAGATGCAAGAGACACACATTGCTGAGTGAGACACTGAGGTACACGCACTGCTGGGAGAGAGATTATGAGAGACTGCTGGCCAAGAGAGTGAGCTGAGAGAGATTGAGTGTTTTTCCTGAACTTGAACTGTAGCCTGGTGCTTCCCTAATAAACCCCATAATCTGTGAGTTCTGTATGGCTATTGGAGCAAATAATTGAACCCAGCAGAAAGGTGGTGGCTGCTACGGGAGGAATGGTTGGTGTCAGGGTTGGTGAAAGGGCTGGAGGGAGGCAGCATGTCTGGCCTCACAGTAATGGGCCTTGGGCTATTGATAGTGATTCTGTTTTCCTCTTGTGGGGTTAGAGGAGGTCAGAAGATGTGGCCTCCTTTCCTTTTTAGCAACTGCATAGTTGAAAATTTGGAAAAATGTGAGTCAGCATTGTAACCTTTCATCATACTTTTAAAATCTGTATGCTGATCAAATAATCTGAGAAGCTGGACTATATGAAGAAGAATGTGGCATCAGGATTGTATTAAAAACCGCATTAGCAACCTGTGATATGAACACGACACAACTTTGCTTGCTGAAAGCAAAGAGGACTTGAAGCATTTATTGATGAAGATTAAAGACTACAGCTTTCAGTACAGATTACATTTCAACATAAAGAAAACAAAAATCCTCACAACTAGACCAATAAGCAACATCACAATAAATAGAGAAAACATTGAAATTGTCAAGGATTTCATTTTACTTGGATCCACAATCAATGCCCATGGAAGCAGCACTCAAGAAATTAAACAACATATTGCATTGGGCAAATCTGCTGCAAAAGACCTCTTTAAAGTGTTAAGGAGCAAAGATATCACTTTGAATACTAAGGTGCTCCTGACCAAAGCCATGGTATTTTCAATAGCCTCTTATGTATGTGAAAGCTGGGCATTGAGTAAAGGAGACCAAATAATTGATTTTTTTGAATTATGGTGTTGGTAAAGAATATTGAAAATACCATGGACTGCCAGAAGAATGAACAAATCTGTCTTGGAAAAACATAGCAAGAGTGCTCCTTTGAAGTGAGAATGGCCAGACTTTGTCTCTTGTACTTTGTCATACTATCAGAAGGGACCAGTCCCTGGAGAAGGTTATCATAGTTGGTCAGTGAAAAAGGGAAGACCCTCAACATGATGGAATGACACAGTGGCTTCAATGATGGGCTCAAGTATAGCATTGATTGTGAGGATGGCACAGGACAGATATTAGTGCTTTACAATTAAAAATTTATATGTGATAACTTGTTTTACAAACATTGATCTTAGTCTTTTTCCATTCAGTCTTTTTCCCATTAGGAATCTTCCCAGGGTATGTAAATCCTTTGTTGCCTTTTTGGTTCTTAGTTTGTAGTTTGAAACATACATTATGCTTTCATAGTAGACGTAAGTCATCTCTTGCTATATACTTTTGGTGATTTTCTTTTCAGGTTTTTCACTAGTCTTGTGTTACTAGATTTAATCAGTGAAGTTCCCTTAAAGGAGATTAATCAGAAATATGGATGTAATCGTGGACAAATTCAATCTTTGCAACAATCAGCTGCTGTTTATGCAGGTCAGTGAAACAAAGGGTTTCCACATTTATTTAAGACTAATTGGAGGTTAAGTTAAAGATTTTTTTTTCCCAATTTCATTTTAATGTAGGATTATACATATATCATAATTTTGAGTAGTCCCTGTCTGTCATCATCAGAAAACTTAAAACTATGGCTTTTGATTCAGTTTCCCTGGTAGAGAGTACTGGAAGCTAGCTGAATGTTTGGCCCTTATCCCCCTTCCATTTCTTATCCACTTGCTGATCATCCATCTCCTTTCTGTTTATATGTGTATATATTTTTTTCCTTCTTTGTTGCCTGCCACAAGAAGAAACAGAGTTCTCCGTAATCTCCCTTTTTTGATCAAGGTATTGTTAATAAACCTGTTAAACCTTACAGTTCTGTAGCAAAACAAAAACAAAAAACTGTCTTAGTTTCTTCGTGCTGTAATACACAAAATACCACAAAGTAGTGGCTTTAATGAACAGAATTTTTTTACAGTTTAGAAGACTGTTGTTGTTGTTGTTATGTGCTGTCAAGTTGGACCCGACTCATAGCGACCCCTCCTTGGGTTTCTGAGGCAGTATCACTACGGAAGTAGATTGGCCCATCTTCCTTCCGAGGAATGGCTGGTGGGTTTGAACTGCCAGCCTTCTGATTAGCAGTCAAGTTCTTTAGGCACTATGCTGCCAGAGCTCCTGTTTAGAAGACTAGTTATCCTAATTCAGTGTGCTAGCTTTAGGGGAAGTCTCTCTCTGTCCACTCTGGGGGAAAATCCTTGTGTCTTTCAGCTTATTGTCCTTGGTTCCTTGGTGATCTATACGTGGCATCAATCCTTCTGCATTTGTGCTTCCTTCTGTGCCTAATCTGCTCCTTTTAAATCTCAAAAGTGATTGGCTTAAGACAGAGCCTACACTGATATATCCTCATTAAGATCACAGAGAAAACCCAAATGGGTAACCCTAGAAGCATGTATTTTTTTGGGGCACAATTCAATCTGTAGCATTCTGCCCTTTGGCCTCCTAAAATTTATGTCCATCCTACATACAAAACAAATTCTATCACATCATCCCAACTCCAAGTCCAGAATCTCATGTTCTGGGTCATCTAAATCAAACTTTGGGCATATTCCATATTGGGACAAAATTCCTTTCTGTCAATGAACCTGTGAAACCTAGAACACAAGTTACCTACTACCAAAGTACAATGGTAGAACAAACAGGGCACATTCCCTTTCCAAATGGTAGAAATCACAGGCACCAAGCAAGTCAACAATACAGCAGAACACATTTCATTAATTATTAAGGCTTGAAAATGATACTTTTTTATCTGGGATCATCTAGGAAATGGTCCCATCATCCAAACTCTGGGTATTGGCCACACTTTCCCAATTCTGAGTACAATACTCTCTCAGTTCTGGAAGTCAGTCCAGCCTTCTAAGATTACTGGGATCTGCTCCTTTAGCTTGTGGCGCCTCCACTCTCCTAGTTAATCTGAATGGCTACCCCACCCCCTTGGTCAGGGTATGCTCATTTATCCTAGTTCTTGGGCTTTGCAGCCTTACCCTCTCAAATTTGGGTAATGACTCCATTCTCTTGGCTATTGGATATGACAGCTCCACCCCCTCAGCTTTGTGATGACCCCATCCTCTTGGCGCACTTGAATGGCAGCTCCATATCCAAGAACTGAGGTGATAGAGATCTAGCTCTTTGAAACCTAAACCAAAATCAAACCAAATCTATGGCCATCAAGTTGATTCTGACTCACAGTGATCCTATAGGACCAAGTAGAACTGCCCCCATAGAGTTTCCAAAACTGTAATCTTTATAGAATCAGACCATCACATCTTTCTCCTGTGGAGTGGCTGGTGGATTTGAAATGCCAACCTTTTGGTTAACAGCTGAGAGCTTAACCCTGTACAACCAGGGTTCCCCTTGAAAGCTAGGAGGCAGTTTTTCCACCCTTTGAAACAGAGGTGGTAGTTCCACCTTTGAAATGGAGGCAGCCCTACCACCATGGTTCTTGCAGTAGTTTTGCTCATCTCCTAACTGTTTCAGGGATGGTGCCTTCCTTTTCCAGCAGGATGTCTCCATTGGCCCATTTCCTGCCTGTAGAATTCCAGAAGGCAGACAGCTTTCTTTTATTTTGTACTGTCTGTGTTCCTTTCTGGGAGCTCTGGTAGCATAGTGCCTAAGGCATTTGACTGCTAACCACAAGGCTGGCAGTTCAAACCCACCAGCCACTCCTCAGAAGGAAGGTTGGGCAGTCTACTTCTGTAGTGATACCACCTCAGAAACCTAAGGAGGGCTCACTATGAGTCAGGTTCCACTCCATGGCAGGGAGTTTGGTTTTTTTGGTTTGTGTCCCTTTCTGTTGTGGTGGTTGAATAGCTCCATCAGTCATGGGCTTAATCTCTTGAACAACAGATTGAGTAGCCTTTTCCTTGGTGAAAGTTCTTGGACACATATCCTTAGTTTGTACATTTTTAAGTTTATCTCTTTCCTTCCGCATTCTACCGTAAGAGGCAAGAAGAAATCAAGCTGCCCCTCATCATCTAACAAGGTCTACCTCCCACCAAACATTTGAACATAATTCAGATAAGTTCTTTGCTGCTGCACAAAATGTGTTGCATTCCCTCCAGTGTCCAATCACACCATTTCCTTTTAAACAGATGCACAGTTAGTGTTCCCATTTCTAGCAGCATACTGTTAATGACAATAAAAGCTTTCATTACAGCTCTCAATTCTTTCTGAGCCCTCATCAGAATTGCCATTAATGGCTATAATTCTACCAACAGTCTCTTTAAGGCAAACTAATGTTTTACTATGAAGACGTCACAATTCTTTCAGATTCTACCCATTACCCAATTCCAAATCTATTTCTACATTTCAAGTATCTGTTAGAGAAGCACTCTACTCTCAGTCTCAGTCAAATTCTGTCTTAGTCATCCATGCTGCATTAACAAATACCTCAAGTGGGTGGCTTTAATGAGTACATATTTCTTTTCTCAGAGTTTAGGAGGCTAGATGTCCTAATTCAGGGTGCCATCTCCAGGAGAAGGTACTTGTCTCTTTTCTGCTTCTGGTCTTCAGTTCCTGGGTAATCTTCTCATGCTATAGCATTTGTCTTCCTCCATCTGTGCTCCCGTTCTTCAGTGCTTAATGTCCTTTCATATCTTAGAAGTGAATGGTTTAAAACTCACCCTACATTCATGGGTTCATTAACATAACAGTTGTTGTTGTTGTTGTTATGTGCCATCGAGTCAGCCCTGACTCATAGCGACCCCTCCTTGGGTTTCCGAGGCAGTATCACTACGGAAGTAGGATTGCCCAACCTTCCTTCCGAGGAGTGGCTGGTGGGTTTGAACCGCCAGCCTTCTGGTTAGCAGTCAAGTGCCTTAGCCACTATGCTACCAGAGCTTCTTAACATAACAGAGAACTCCCTATTCCAAAATAAGATCATATCTATCTGTATAGGGGTGAGGGTTCCAACACATATTTTATTGTTGTTGTTATGTGCCATCGAGTTGGACCCGACTCATAGCGACCCCTCCTTGGGTTTCCGAGGCGGTATCACTATGGAAGTAGATGTCCCAGTCTTCCTTCTGAGGAGTGGCTGGTGGGTGTGAACCACCAGCCTTCTGGTTAGCAGTCAAGTGCCTTAGGCACTAAGCTATCAGAGCTCCCAACACATATTTTAGGGGGACACAATTCAACCCATAACAAAAATTTAAAAAAATGCTTTTAAAGAAATGGTGAATGGAGTCTATGAAGAATTTTTAATTCAATAAATATTGTATGAATATTCCAGGGATGATCACAGTGTTTTCCAACCGCTTGGGATGGCACAACATGGAACTACTACTTTCCCAATTTCAGAAGCGTCTTACATTTGGCATCCAGAGGGAGCTGTGTGACCTGATCCGAGTGTCCTTACTTAATGCACAGCGAGCCAGATTCCTCTATGCTTCTGGCTTTCTCACTGTGGCAGATCTTGCCAGAGCAAATATTGTTGAAGTGGAGGCTGTTCTGAAAAATGCTGTACCTTTCAAAAGGTAAGAAAATCCTCTATCTACATAGGATTATTAGATGATATATTGTGTCAAATTGTCAATAACAGATAATGTATTAAAATATTTTTCCTCTTTGATAATCTCATGATGCATTGAAGTAGAATGAAAATGTGATTGCTTTTCCTTCCTTGAGGATTATTCTTTAAACATTAATCAACTTGTTTAAGTTTTTAAAAATCTATTATAATCCTCTCCTAACAAGATTGAATCAAAGTTCAGATACCTATACTTTCTGCTTTGGTGGATTTTGATTTTCGGTATATGCCCAGGCTCATCTTAGAACTTTGTTTATGAAAAATCACCTTATAATACACTTCTCTCAGATGTTCTTTGGTATACTAGTCCCACAAAGATTAGTCAAGAGTATCCCTTGACTGTTTTGTATGTGTGTGTGTGTGTGTGTGCACGCAACCAATTCGTTAAATGGGCTGGACTCAATATATAATCAAGGAATTTAAAAAAAAATAGTTGCACTGGAGTTGACTCCAACTTATGCCCTCCCCCCCCCCATGCATATCAGGGTAGAACTGTACTCCATAGATTTTTCAATGGCTGATTTTTCAAAAGTAGATTGTCAGGTACCTCTGGGTGGACTCCAACAACGAGGTGAGCATATTAACCTTTTGTACTACCCAGGGTTTCTAGTCAAGGAATTGCTTAATTATTTTCTCTATCACAGTTCTTTGGACTCACTCCTATATGGAATCTTAGACAGATCCTATGGCTATTTAGATACTTTTAAGTATTAATAAATGATGTCATTTTCAGGTATTCAAAATTTGTTCTAAATCAAAGTATCAGCATAGCCCAGGCTCTGGGGAGGGAAGGGGTAAAGTCTTTTACTATTCTCTTGTCTCTTGTATATTTCCTCCTCCATTTACTTTTTTTCTTTTGTAATCTTAAGGTTTGAGGTGTGTCATGAATCAAATTGTGTCCCCATAAAATATGTGTCTAGGCCATCATTCTCCATACTGTATGATTATCCTCCATTTTGTAGTATGTGTAAATCCTAACCTCTGCGTATGGTTAATGAGGCAGTATTAGGTTATATTAAAGAGGGTTAGGTTACGTTTGTTATGTTAATAAGGCAGGATTAGGGTGAGGTGCATCACCTTTACTTAAGTCACCACCCTTACTCAAGTCATAGCCCAGATGGTGAAGTAAGGGGAGTTACATTGTGGTGTGATCTATATTACCTTTTATCTTACAAGATATAAAAGGAGAGAGAAATGAGCAGACAGGAAGAGACCTGACTGCCACCAGGAAAGAAGAGCCTGGAGTAGAGTATGTCCTCTGACCCAGGATTCTTGTTCTAAGAACCTCCTAGACACAGAGGAAAATTGATGCCTAAACAGAAGTAGATCTCCAAGGGATGCCAGGCCCACAGATGTTGAAAAAAGACAAGGACCTTTCCCCAGAGGCAATAGAGAAAGAAAGCTTTCCTTCTCCTTGGGCTGGCACCCTGAATTTGTATTTCTAGCCTCCTAAACTGTGAGAAAATGAATTTCTGTTTGTTAAAACTGTCCACTTGTAATATTTCTGTTGTAGCAGTCTAGATAATATAACTAAGACAAGGTAGGAAGGTTGAGAGTAAAGGGGTAAAACTCTACTTTTTTAATGGTATTTGTATCTGTATGTGTTAGATTTTGAATACTGGTGTTTTTCCAAAGCCTGGCTTTTTCTTTCAAGGTGTTTCTTTCAAGGTGTTAGTTCCTTGCTAATGTTGCCTATTTTTTCAGAAATTGATCTCTTTAAGATTTCTATCTCTAATGAGGTCAATTTTGGTAATCTGTATTTCTTTAGGAAATTATCTATTTCAGTTAGATTTTCAAGTATATTTTCATAAAGGTTTCTAAACTAGTCTCTTAACGGATTGTAAATATTTCTTATGTTTCAATGGTTATTTCCCTTTATCATGTCTTATTTTATAAATTTGTACACTCTGTCCCTATTTTTTCATTAATTTAGCTAGTGATTTGTCTATTTGATATATATTAAAAAGAAAATCTAGGAGTTTGTTTTATTAGTTTGGTTTACTCTTTCTTTCCTTCTTTCTTTCTTTCTCTCTCTCTCTCTCTCTCCCCCACTCCTTCCTTCCTTCCAAGTTATGTGTCAACTTGGTTGGGCAGCAGGATATAGTTATTCCTATGATGAGACTGGATGTTGTGCCATCAACTCCATGGTGTGTCTGCTATGAAATGTTGATCAGTGGAATGGAGATGCTTTAGGAAAGGTCTTTAGATTTTTGGCACACTTTACTCCTGCATTTGGTGAAGTCTTCATCTCTAGTTCCTGGGCTTGAACCATAGTCTGCCGTGTTGCCTGCTGATCTTAGGATTGTGCCATTTTACCTGCTGATCTTGAGTTGGTCAGCCTCAGCAGCCAGTAGCTACATGAGTCAGAAGAAGCCTCTAGCTCCAGTGGGTCTGGAACAAGAGGCAGAGCTGAAGCCCAAGGTTGAGGGGCCTTCACCCATACCCTAGAGCTGGCATTCTGAATTTGGACTTTTAGAGGCCTAAACTATAAAATAATAAATTCCTGTTTGTTGCAGTCACCCATTTGTGGTATTTCTGTTATAGCAGCTCTGGAAAACTAAGATACAACCTCATTGATTCTTTCTTTCACTTTATTATTTTCTTCTTGTGCTTTCTTTAGTTTTACTTTGTTGTGATTTTTTTTAGGTTTATTTTGTTTTTGAACTGGGAATTTAATTCATTTACTTTTATATTTTTTCATTTTAATGATAAAAGAATATTCTATTTATTTTTAGGTTAGTCCATGAATTTTCCTATGACCTCTGCTTTAAATGCAAATGTGATATGTTTAAATGTAAATATATTCTGATATTAAGGGTTTTGTTATTATTTTTTTAGAAATTTTATGTAATTTGTTTACCCTCTTTCATCAAGCATTGTTCAGTGGAAAGTTTTCTCATATCTAGTTGGAAATGCTTTTTTTTTTCAATTTGTTAATAATTTCTAGTTCTGTTGCATTGCAATCTAAGCATTTATAACATTTCTATTTTATGGAATTCATTGATGTTTTCTTTGTGACCTATAATATGATCAACAAAGACTAGATGTATTCTCTATTATACGGATGTAACATTTGAAATATATTTGTTAAGTCTACTATATTCATTATGTTCATTGAGTCATCTTAATTCTTATTTATTCCACCCCCCCCATTTCATCTGTTTTAATAAGGGCAATATGTTAAAGTCTACTATGATTAGTTATTATTTGCTAGGGCAGACAAATTTGTCTGTCAGTTTGTTGTACTGTGGTGGCTTGAGTGTTGCTGTGAGGGTGAAGGCTATGCCACTGGTGTTTCAAATGCCAGCAGGGTTACCCATGGTGGATAGGTTTCAGTGGAGCTTCCAGACTAAGACAGATTCAGAAGAAGGAAGAGGCCATCCACTTATCAGAGAATTGGCCAGTGAAAACCTTATGAGTAGCTATGAAACACTGTCTGATACATTATTGGAAAATTTTATGAATAGTCCTGAAACATTGTCCAATATAGTGCTGAAAGATGAGCCCCTCAGGTTGGAAGGCACTCAAAATACAACTGGAGTAGAGGCAACTTTAATGATGTGGATAAAGTAAAGTTTTCGGGACCTCCATTTGCTGATGTAGCACATCTCAAGATGAGAAGAAACAGCTGCAAATGTTCCTTAATAATCGGAACATGGAATGTACAAAGTATGAATCTAGGAAAACTGGAAGTTGTCAGAAATGAAATGGAATGCATAAAGATCAGTATCCTAGGCATTAGTGAGCTGAAATGGATCAGTTTTGCCTTTTTTCAGTGAGACAGTCATATGCTTTCCTATGCTGGGAATGACAAATTGAAGGAAATGGTATGGCATTCATCATCACAAAGAATGTTTCAAGATCTATCCTGAAGTACAATGCTGTCAGTGATTGGATAATATCCATACGCCTATGAGGAAGACCAATTAATATTACTATTATTCAAATTTAGGCACTAACCACCAAAGCCAAAGATGAGGAATTGAAGATTTTTACCAACTTCCACAGTCTGAAATTGACTGAACATGCAATCAAGATGTGTTAATTATCACTGATGATTAGAATGCAAAAGTTGGAAACAAAGAAGAATCACTAGTAGTTGGAAAATATGGCCTTGATAATAGAAATAACGCTGGAGATCGCATGATAGAATTTTGCAAGATTAAAGACTTATTCATCGTAAATACCTTTTTCAACAACACAAACAGTGCCTATACATGTGAACTTCACCAGACGGAGTACACAGGAATCAGACTGGCTATATCTGTGGCAAGCGGTGATGGGAGAATCTCAATATTTCAGCCAAAACAAGACCAGGAGCTGATTATGGAACAGATCATCAACTGCTCATATGCAAGTTCAACTTGAAGTTAAAGACAATTAAAACAAGTCCAAGAGAGCCAAAATATGATCTAGAATATACCCTTCCTGAATTTAGAGACCATCTAA